TCTTTTATAAATATAAAACCCAATCTCATGACAGATCAATAATCCATAAAAATATAGGTAGCATACCAGGCCTGCAAAGAAGTCACTATCTGCTGCTATTAGCTTTGATGACATGCTTGTCTTTGCACAATTTACCAGTGAATCTTTGCCAAGCTTTTCAACCTTCATAAAAGATAAATAAAATTAGAATAATCATGAGCAACATTAATCAAGTAGTAACAGGATCCACACATCACAATAAATAAAAATTAAAAAATTAAAAAATATAAATAAATAAAAATTGCACTGAGGCAAGGTTTAGAGACGTTCAATTTTACTAAACCACACCCTAAATGTACACACAACTAATCATCTCATTTTAACTAACACAAAGATGAGTTATTACAGAGAAAGAGAGCTAGAGGCCTCCAAAAACAAAGAAATTTAAACAAAGGCAATTTCAATCTCAAAATGGCATTGTAAGAAAGCCACATCATCTTAAGTTTAGAGAACCAATAGAATATATAAACATCTTAAAATTTTTAGGTCCTCTGATCACCACAGAAAAGAAAAAAAATTACAATAAATAGACCAGAGTTAGTGATCAATAATGACTTGCCCTTTCACCAAAATACTGATCATTCAAATTTACTGTGGAAGAAGATAAAATTCTGGCCAGATATTATGGATAAATGAAAAAAGCAATTTATTGCAAGGCATGTACAATTCATATCAGCTAAATAGTTATCAGGAGGCAAATACCTTCACTGCAAGTTTCTCATCAACATATTTGCATGCTTCCCTCATTGCAAGCTGAGAAAGAATGAGACAATAAGGGACACATTAAAAATTCATTCTTTACGGATAGAGCACTTATCACCAGAAAAAATGGCAATCTGAACATCAAACAACAGGAGATTGATAAGATACTGACCCTAAATCCACTTATTATAGATGTTGGATGAATCTTATTCCTCACCAAATCATTCGCCCTCTGCAGTAATAAACAAGCATATAAAACTCGATAAATCTTTCATCATGGAAAAATCAAGAGTGTATCACACTTTTATAAAAAAATTGAAGTTAGGCATTGCAACAGATAGTATAAAAGCAGTTACAAGCTCCAACTCACCTTAAGCAACTCTGCAGCAAAAATAACCACGGAAGTTGTTCCATCTCCAACTTCTTTGTCTTGGAGTTCAGCTAACTCCACAAGTACCTAGAAGCAAATGGAGACAACCATGACTAAATATTCTAATAAAAAGGGAAGAAACTATAGAATTAAGAGCTTTCATGTACCTTAGCAGCAGCATGCTCAACTTCCAACATCTTGAGGATGGTAGCACCATCATTTGTAATTGTGACATCTCCAATATCATCAACCAACATCTACATTATGATAACTAACATTAGAGATCCAGTTATTAAAGCTTACTTAGGGAGTTAGGGGGGAACAGCAATTATGAAAGGAAAGATACTTGTCAGAACTCTCGGAAGTAAAGCAATCATCTTTTAAAAGGTTAAAGTATATCCACTAAAATCCCACTGTTTACACGCACATTGATTTCACCCTTTTGGCTACAATATGAAAAGCACTTCAAGTCAACAAAGTTAAATGTTGCATACTTTTAGTATCTACAGGGATGGTGCTAACACTATAAGGCGCCATAGTCTGCCTATTTACCACAATGCAAAAACAACTAGCATTATCTTTCTTCTTTCCATAAAATGTCATCAAATGAGGTTGGTATAATACCTTACTAAAAGAGTAAGTCAATAACAAGTAGATGTATACTTCAAAGTTCAAACTAAAAACAAAAAAGTTGGTCAAACTTCTAATTAAACTTAGAGCTATTTTCCTTAAACGCACATCACAAATAAGTACAAACAACAAACTGTATTAATGCCACATCGAACAATGTTTCAACTTGCCGCTAACCGTATATGTTCATTTACTTCACTTTTCTGTTTTACTTCATCCCTAAACACACATCACACAACACTACCTCAAAAAATTTCCATTCATTTTATCTCATAATCACCCATGTCATTAGAGTTTCAATCGACACAAACCATGCTGTCTGCTCATCATACCTTCCAAATCTTCCAAATACAAATCATTTATCTAACCTAAAACCATTTCCTCCACTACCATAATTTTAAAGTAAACACAACATATAAGTAGCAGCAAAACAAAACATTGATTGAATCACATACTAAGAAAATAACAAGACAAAACCATAACAAAAAAGCTGAACATTTGAGCAAAATACATGACAAAATTAAATCAGGTTACAAAACCTAAATCTAAAATTGAAGTAAAACCCTTAAATCAGAGTAAAATTTAAAAGAAACCCACTTAAATTAAACCCTAAAAAAGACAAATAGACACAAAAAGATCAAACCTTGTCGAGACCAACAGGGCCAAGTGAGGATTTAACGATATTGGCGATTGCTTGACATGCAACCACTGCACACCATAAAAACACAACACACAAAAAAGAGAAATACCGAGAATCAGAAACTGAAAGAAATGCAAAGAATTAGGGCAAAAACAGTAGATATGAGAATTAAACCGTTTTGAGTGCGAACATCTTGGCCAGATTGGCGGTCACCCAATATATCAGGGGCCGGCATTGTTGATAATTGGGATTACGAGAAGAGTGTAGGATTGAAATGGGGTTTTTTCAGGAGAATGCGAAGATCAGTAGCTGAGAGTGATGAACAGAGGTTTGCCGCAAAGAGGGGAGAGAGAGAGAGTAGGAAGAACTGCGGCTACTCTGCTAAATTTGGTTGGGTTAGATTTTGAGAAAAAGAGATCTCTTCGTCGAGAATGTTCAAAGCAAAAGCCCAACCAAATATAGGGGTTTGCGGTTTGGGTTTTTGGGAGTCGATTCATGAATTTCCAAGGATAGCCCGGTTAATTATCTTGATAAATAAATTTTATTTTGGGAAATTATCAATGATACCCCCAGGTTTGGCTTTTATCAATAATACACATCATTAAACTTTCATTATCACCGGTACACCTAAATTTTTCCCTAAATACCTATCGTGGCCTTGACCGTTAACTAAACGTTAATGAAGCTCTGTTTAGCGTTTTAAAGGTTAATTTCCCTCCAAATTTCCCTTCCATTTTCTGTAATATTGCAGTTTTTTCTGAAGCAAGTTCAGATGATGCTTTAGTTATGTTAGCTTTGAGGAAGAACTTGAATAACCCACCCGAATCACTTGGATGGTCCGACCTAGATCCTTGTAAATGGACCCATGTGGGTTGTAACCAGGAAAAAAAAGTGACCCAAATTCAAATTGGGCACCAGAACTTGGAAGGTACTCTCCCTGCTAGTCTTTCTTCTTTAACTTCTCTTGAAAGGTTAGAAGTTCAATGGAATAAATTTTCAGGCCCTTTTCCTAGTTTAAGTGGATTAAGTTCATTGCAAGTTTTAATGATTAGTAATAATAATTTTAGTTCAATTCCTAGTGATTTGTTTACTGGGTTGTCTGTACTTCAGTCTGTTGATCTTGATAATAACCCTTTTGAGGGTTGGGAAATTCCTGAATCCTTGAAAGATGCTTCAACACTTCAGAATTTTTCTGCTAATTCTGCTAATGTGACTGGGGTAATACCTGATTTTTTCGGGCCGATTCGTTTCCGGGTTTGGTGCATTTGCATTTGAGCTTTAATAGTTTGGAAGGAGGATTGCCTAGGAGCTTTGATGGGTTTCAAATTCAGTCATTGTGGGTTAATGGGCAGAAAAGTGTTGGCAGGCTTAATGGGAGGATTGATGTGATTCAGAACATGACTGCTTTGAAGGAAGTTTAGTTGCATCAGAATGCATTTTCTGGTCCATTGCCTGATTTTTCAGGATTAAAGGATCTTCAGGTGTTGAGCCTTAGGGATAATAAGTTTACTGGAGTTATTCCGCCGTCTTTGATGAGTTTAGAGTCTCTAGCTGTTGTGAACTTGACCAATAACATGCTTCAAGGGCCAATGCCAGATTGCCAGTGTTTAAGGACTCGGTTGCTGTGGATTCATTAATGTTTAGTTAACGGTCAAGGTCACGGTAGGTATTTAGGGAAAAGTTTAGGTGTATCGGTGATAATGAAAGTTTATTGATGTGTATCATTGATAGAAGTCAAAACCTGGGGGGTATCATTGATAATTTCCCTTTTATTTTATCAAGAGCATAAATATCGAGGAGGATGGCTTTCTCTCAAACATTCTCTCTTCTTACCCTATTTTGACATCTCATACTCTCTTTCATCCACCTTATTTTCCACTATCTCTTTCCTCTCTTCCACCCTCTTCCATTTATTTTTCCCACATCAAAGGCTATCCTCTTGATATATATTTTATACTATAAATATGTCCCCACCTTCAAATTTTATCTTTGTGAAAGATTATTTTTTATTGATTTCTTTAGTGATAAGGTCTAATAATAATAATAATTTAGGATTCGATAATTAGCATACATAATAAAAATTACCATACTTTACCAATATTTTGATACAATAACACATGAAATTAGGAATAAAAACACTAATTGATACACTAAAATACAACAAATACAAGAAATTAAAGACAAATAACTAATTATCCTCTTTTTCCTTAAGGATTACTGGTATGCCCAAATCTTGCCTACAAATGTTCTACCAAATCTTGTTTAAGTGACATGAGTTTGTTTATCGTGGAGATTTTCTGGTGTTGCCATTAATGTGGTTAGATTAGGATTTTGGTAGCGCGAGGTTACGGTGAAAGTCGTTGCTCTTCGGTTTGAAGTTCCTGCTAAGTACTCGAGTTGTTCAGTAGCAAACTCATTAGGATCCCAATAGTTAAGATAACTATCGCGCTCATCTTCCATGATCATATTGTGCATGATAAGACACGCCATAACAATTTTCCACAACATTTTGACACTCCGTGCCAAAGCAGGACGCCTTATTATGGCAAATCGAGCTTGCAACACTCCAAATGCATGTTCTACATCTTTTCTAATACTCTCTTGTTTGGTAGTAAACAATCATTGTTTAGGGGTTTGAGGTGCAATTATCGCATCTATAAATGTTGCCCATTTTGGGCAGATCCCATCTGTGAGATAATACCCTTGATTGTAAGTATTTCCATTCACGGTGAACTGAAGTTGTGGAGCACGACCATTTAAAATGTCGTCAAAGACGGGTGAACGTTGAAGGACATTTATATCGATGCACGATCCAAGTGTTCCAAAAAAGGCATGCCATATCCACAAATCCCAAGATGCAACAACTTCTAAGATAACCGTCGCCGTTTTTGATCGCCCTTGATACATCCCTTTCCACCCCGCAGGACAATTTTCCCACTCCCAATACATGCAGTCGATACTTCCAACATACCAGGAAAACCTCTTTCCTCTCCTTCTCTTAGAAGACAATTCATATCTGCAGGGATTGGTTTCCTCAAGTACTCTGCTGAGAATTCACAAATCACTCCGCCAACAAAGTGCGTGATACAATGCCTAGCCGTAGTTGCCCCAAGCTTGAGGTACTCATCAACTTGATTAGTTGCGCAGCCATATGCTAACATTCTTATAGCCGCTGGGCACTTTTGTATTGCAGAAGCACCCTAACGCAAACTAGCATTTAGATGTTGCTGGAAAAATTGATCAGTTTCACTTAGTTGATTCACTATCTTCATAAATAGAGGTTTTCGCATGCGAAACCTACGTCGAAACTTATCATCACCATACAATGGTTGGTCGCTGAAATAGTCAACAACCAACTGATCATGAGCTGCTTCACGATTACGTGGTATAACTTCCCTTCGTTTTCTCTGACGTGGAACATCTTGTTGTTGTTGTTTCATGGTGGTGTTAACCACATATCTCAATGCATCTTCTATGATTTGTTGTTGCCGATTTCCCTCAATAAAATCAAGCAACATGTAGTCAAAGATTTCATCACTAGAAGTGGAAGAATTTGGATTATTACTCATTTAAAATTACTAATATGTAGTAGTTGTAGTTGTGATAGTGAAAGTGTTGTAAGTGAAATAGGACAATTTATAGACAATTGAGATACAAGTTACAAAAAATGATTTGCAATCTAGTAAGATAAGATTTTTTACCAGAAGATAAGATTTTCTAACAGAAGATAAGATTTTTTAACAGTGAGTAAGATTTTTTGTAGATAACATAAGATTTTTGGTAGATAAGGTAAGATTTTTTATCAGAAGGTAAGATTTTTTATCAGAAAGGAAAATTTTTGGTAGATAAGGTAAGGTTTTTTTATCAGAGGGATAAGATTTTTGGTAGATAAAGTTTAAGGATTCGAAAATTACATTTTTTTTTTTTAGTAGAAAACATAATATTATTACTCCAACACATAAGATTACAACATCTAATATGAACTAAAAATGCAAACGATTAAAATTACTACTACGTACGATTACATCTTAAGTACTACAACAACTCTTAAACATAACGTTATTAGCTGAAAGACAAACTCTTGATACAGAAACTAAAAGATAAAATAGTTAATACATAAAAATAACTAACACTTAACTTATATCTTTAAAAAAACCTATTACTAAACTCTTCTCTAAGCTTCTTGTACATGTCGGCTTCAAATTCATCGAGGACGGGTTTCGCCATCAATGAACGTAACATGCCGAATTTCATCTCCTCCTCGTTTTACTTTTTCCTATCTTCACTCCTTTTGCTTATCAAGTTAATCATTCGTTTTCCTTGATCAAGCCTCTTATCACTACATTCGTCAAGAGTTGTATTGAAAGCTTCAAGGTTTATCAATGTAGAAGAATTACTACCTTCTGCAGCTAAACTCTTTGATTTTTCATACCTAGAGGCCACTTTCTTCCAGCACCCACACTTAGTGATTCTGGTTCGGATCGTTTCCCACTTCCCTCGCTCTCCAAAGGAAGTTGTTGGACCATATGTAGGTCCCATTTAGGAAAATTTTGCATTGTTTCAAAACAATGCATCAAAATAAAGTGTTTTCCATGATTGAGTTTTGCATAATACTCATGGGCACGTTGGACAGCGTCCCCGCCCGAGTTTCCACTTTTCGGGTGTCGTAGGATATAACCATACGCCATAACCCATAATAAAATCCATTTTGATACCAATTTGTTGATAAAATCCCAACGTTGTTGCATGGACTTAATGGTCCGTTCTTTTATCTCTTCAAGGTTCTCTACCCGTGCTTCTTCGTATAACTTCCAAATTGCAGCCCATAAACCGGCTTTAGTTCGTTTTGTATTCATGGTAACGTTCCCACCATCTATACTCCATAAATAAGCGCCTTATCTTCAGCTATACTCCATGCACTACCTTTTTTATCATTGGGGTCTTCTCCAGTATTGTCAACAACATCATCATCGAGATCTTCTAGATCTTGAGCTTCCCGCACATCTTCTGTTGGAGAAGCAGTGCTACTAACATTTACTCCTGGAGATTGATCCATGGGTTGGGTAAAATGTTGGGACATGGAAAATAATGGGACATTTTGTGAAGATGAGCTCCCATGAAATTGGTAAGGAATTGGAGATGTATAATTCGGGTTTATAGGTCTTTGGTGGCTACCAAACCATTGCCAAGCAGCTTGAAATTGTGGATTATTGAATATACTTGGATCAAAAGGGGGAGTGTTTGAATTGTATTGAGGATTTGGATTATTTGGGAAATTCATATTTCTTCCATAATCATGATTATTTTCATCCATTACAAAAGAAAATTATAAAAAGAGAGGAAGGAGTGAAAAAAGATGAAATATTGAAGTGCATAAAAAATGGCCAAAATTAGGTTCATTTTAAAGAGAAAAAAAAAACAACCGTTGGTAAAATCAGTTTTCTAAAATATGTAACAAAAAACAAATAAAAGGTTGACACTTGTCAACGAATAGCAAGTCAATTTAAAAATCTAGCCGTTACAATTTGCTTTGCTATTTTGATGTTTTTGACTGTGTGTCAGGAGCTTTTCATTTTTCTTTCTTATTTTTATTTAGCAAAACGTTGCCGTTTGTTGTACAAAATTGTTTCAAATAGTGGGTTTTGGCCTTTTGGCTTCATCCTCTTGACTCAAAGGACGAGGTGCTCAATCCTTCACCAGATGAGGATTGTTGAGAATCCTCTTCCCCTTGAGGATCCTCTACATTATCCAACATCAAAGAGGACTACTTAAAATCAGCAAAAACCCCATACAAGAGGACATATATCCTCTTTGATATTTATGCTCTAAAGGGTAATATTAACACATTTTTATGGAAAAATTGTCAAAAAAAAAAAAAAGCTTTTAAATCACCATTTTGAAAAAAAATAAATAAATTTCAAAAGCTCTTTGCCAAAAGAAAACCCGATTGTAAAATTTATTTGTTAGAGGCAACCTAGTACATCTAATTAACTTAACAAGCTTAGAGGCGCATGATTGCCCGTCCCCCTTCCCCAAATTTATTACACATTTTCTTTAAAAAAAAAAGTTATCCATATACTTTATGTATTTGCATAAATGACATATTGACATTCTCCATTACTCTTTATAATTAGTAGCTGTAAGAATATATATAGACTTGAAACACTTTATCTTACTTTAATGGCTATTAAACTAAAAATATATGAAACCTTAATACGAGAGCTTATGGTAGATAAACATGTTTTAAGTGGTAAACATGTGCCTTGAAAAACTTGACATTGTCAACAAGAAGAGATGGTACATGTCCACCATAACCCACCCCAAGGTTACCAACTATATTCTCAATCTATCTTTTGAAGAAGTTAACTTGAGAGACTTGGTGTATACCCATGAAGTAACAAACCTGTATTTCACAAACACGGTCAAGATGTAGCTAGGCTAGGTGTTATGAACCTCTACATTGTTTTTCGGGGTTTTTCAGAAGTCCTGCGGGAGAGTTACAACACCAAGACTGACCTTTGGACACCTGTACCTGCAAAATAACGGAGACTCCTGGGGGTAGGAGTTCCGCCTCCGACAATCAAGTTAGAATGTGTTCGGATGTAAAAAAGTGCGGAATGTAGATGGGATCAGGCTCCTCTTAGGAGAGAAGGGATCATCCGGTTATATGAGATAACCTCAAAATCCGCGCCTTAGCTCTCAAGTAGTGCAATTAAAGCTGGAGTTTATGCTCAGCAGTTAATGTACACGTGTGTTTAATAATTTCTAAATGATGTTCCTCAGGGGGAACATCTCCCTTTTATAGGGTCTCGTAATGCGTGCCCAGTACTAGGTTTCAGAAACCTAGGACTGGCTGGGCTTTCCTAGGTATTTGGGTCGTTAAAGGCCACTTTCCTAGTTGGCAATCAGTTTGCCACGTGTCGTGGCTTGATTGATCCACCTTGGACCTCTTACGAGGTAACACGTAGCGGACTCTGGTTGGTCCACGTGGGTGACACGTGGCAGGATTTTTATTGGTCCACGTGGCGTGGTTAAATACCCTAATCATTTGCCCCTTACAGGGGTGACATGGCTTGCCACGTGGCGCCCGTGACAGGTGTCACACTTTGATTGGCCAACGGTTTTTACCGTATTTTTTTTATTTTTTTTGTCCCTTGAAATTCACCCCACTATAAATTGGGCATTTCCCAATCATTTTTTGGATATTTCCAAAAAATTTCAAACAGAACTTCTTGATTTGAGAACTTTGTCTTTTTCTGAGAAAGAACGACCGTCGCCTGCTACCAAACCGCCTGTTCTTATAGCTGCCGAAGATTTTTCAAGCACCCTCATCTCTACAGACCAAAGGTAACCGCCTGTTTTTATTTTGCATTCTCTTTATTTCTTTTTCTTTTTGAAAATGGTTTCCCAAAAGCACACGGCACGACCTAGGTTAGTGATCAGCCGGTCACCGGGGACGGCTGAATCTAGAACTAGGAGTGCCGATTGCCCCTTGCTGGACCACCCTTTGCGAACTGCCCCAAGTTCGGCTGTCTATGTGTCTGTGCAAGACACCATTGCATGGTTAGAACTAAAAGAACTACAAGGGTGACAAACTCAGACGGCTCCCACTTCCATGCCCCTGTCAGTGAGGTATCTGACGTGCTGCCTGGTGCCCTAAGCACTCCCAGTGATTCCATTTTAGAAGAATCAGGGGAGGAGGTTCAAAATGATATGCTGGGCTTTGTTGATCTAGCTCACCAGGCGGACACCAGGTCCGAGAGCTCAGACAGCGACTCTGAGCTAAGTACCTCCAGCAAATTCTCAGATGAATCTGAAGAGAGGCACTCTCGGCTAGAGACTGCGCGAGAGTCCCTCTCAGTAGAATTGGGAGCAAACTGGGCGGAGCCATCTGCTACCAACCGAGAGCAATATGCCGCCTACTATCATCATATTCCCGCATGCAGGCGGAAAATGATGGCGAATAAGATTGGGAGCTTCAGAGTTGAACATGTCATGGGGCATTATTACATCTTATGCACGCCGGATGCTGAAGACACCATATTCTGGCCAGAGGGGTCCAACTACGAGTGTTTTGGCTGCTATGAGGCGGCTATTAAGGCTGACCTAAGATTTCCTTTGCATCTGGCTGTGGAGCGAATCCTGGACGGATACTAGCTGGGTATCTGGCAACGAAGTAGACCCCAACTTTGAAGCATTCGCCCATATGCACTACCTCAGCCAGACCCCAAAAACAAGTGGGACCGGCTGGTACTAGCTGTCTAGCGACAAAGGCTATACGATGACTTTAGGGAAGGAGAACAAGTGGAAAGATTGGAGAAACACTTTCTACATCGTCTTTAGCCCTAACAAAGTCAAGAATAAAAAGGTTAACAGGTGGAACAGGAACCCACCTTTCCTAACAGGCGAATCTGAGTTGCCGCTTGTTCCTTGTAGAGCTAGAGAAGAGATCCTTGACAAAGGCCTTTTCAAGGTGGATATCCAAGCGAACCCCGAGACTAGGCCAAGGGAGTTCATTCCTCAAAATTATATTCCCAAGTATAACTGGTTATACGATGGGACAAACTTG